CTCAGTTTGGAATGCTTTTAGGTAGAATGTTCGTTGAGTATTCTACATTTTCTTAACGACACCTTCAAAGTATGTTTTTTTGTGAATCATGTATGTTAATGATGATTCAATTAATATTGCTTGAGTTACATGTTTTAGCGCTGCAAAATGTTGCAGTTACATTAAAATTCTTACATAATTGGTTTACTCCATCAAAGAATGTGTACTTGTAAATAAGAGTTTCTTGGCAGCTTCACCAATTGCACTGCATTAAGTGAGCCTATGACATTTGACAACTGCACATATGCTCGAGTCCTAAAATGTATTTGGTACACACTGACAAATGATCAAGACAATTAAAGAAGGTATGTATATCCACATAATAAAGTAAAATATACCGAGGAATAGCTTTAGAGTTTGGATGCTTCCAAAAAATACAGAGATAAGTTTCTCCAAAATCAGCATTTGATCGTCTATAACAATTGTTACAAGCCATGTACCAAGATTTGTTATCAATTTTGTCTGTAATTGCTATGCCATTTACCCAATAAAACTTTCGTTGTGTCAAAACAGAGGGTGTCAAAACATAGCAGAAATAAGGAATATGTATGTGCAATTTTTTTATATGTATATAAAACTTGTCATAAATACTATTACCGCTAAGAGGCGTTCTTGAAGATTTGTGTGGCTTCTTTCCATGTATGATTTTTTCAATACCAAATTATCTATTTTCATTGAATTTTCTTTTGACCCTAGTAAATGTAGTAAATAAGGTTAAACCTCATGATATTTAGAACAAAATTAGTAAATGTGGATAGTGGCTAGAGATGCGGGAATAGGAAAAAAGAATAATAAAATAAAATCAATTTATTCTACATACCATTCCGTTATCTCTTTTACTTCGATGAAATGTGTATTTATGAAGAAAGTAGTACGGTCTTTTGTGGACAATTTCAAACTTGTATACATGTGCAAAGTATCACATATATATGTTGTGCGCTGATATAAAACATACCAACAGCTAAACACATACCAAATAAAGACGTAACTCCGAGATGTGTTGCAAAGATGACTGATTTTTTCTTAATATTCTCCGTTATTAGTACATATTCTCTATCAACAAAGGAATCCTAAAGTGTAAGCGTTATTGTTTTAAAATTTTTGTCCAGAAACAATACATCCTATACCCATGTTTGGTTGCCATCTTTTGATTGAATAATTCGTTTGAGCGTCATATCAATTGCAACCGCAAGTATATCTGAAAATATAAATTTTAAAATGACTCTCTGCTTATTTTTCTAAATATAACTATCACGTAATTCAATAATTCAAGATAACGTATCATGGAATAACAAAAAATATGCATTTCTTACTTATATCAGCATCTGTATTCATATACTCTTCCACTTCATGAAAAGCTGTCAGTTGATATGTTGAAAAAATAAATTCTAGATTATCTTCATTTAGTTCAACAAAACGAATTTCTCCAGATTTAATCCAGTGATGAGATCCTATCGAATATTTGTAGTTTTCCGTATTATTCTTCACATAAGCTTTTGAAATGACATATGTTTTCCCCAAAACAAGTTGATCCTCAAAAGCATTGATATTGGAATCATATAAGCTAGCTTGGATAGTATTTTCCTGAAAAATGAAAATGAAAAACAGTGAGAAATTTCTTAGTTATATGATTATATATGAATGAGAAGTCTTACTAGTTTTAGTTTTGAAGTTTAAGCCAACTTTTATAACTAACAATAAGAAGAGTTACCTGAATATCCTCACCAAATGTTGATATCTTTCATTGCCTTGTTTAGAAGGTTTTGGTGATTGTTTTTCAACTACAATGACCTTGGCTTTCCATTTCTCGTTGTTTGAGACAATTTCTGGTATATTAGTTTGTATTCTTTTTCCATTTTATCTAAATCTAAAATAAATAATATGTCAAGTGCAGTCGGAATAGAGCAAAAGATTTATAAGGATGGTAATCTCACAAGGAAAATGAAAATAGTTTAAATAGCTATAGTATAATTTGTCAAAATTATAAAAAAAATTAGATAAAATCGGTGAAGTATGGCCAAGTAACCTGAAATTTTTATTAGTATCAGTATGTTATATAAAAGTATATTCTAGAGTATAATGTATGTGAATGGATTAGTCTATATGATGAAATGTGCAAGTATATAAATACAGAGTAATGTATGGGAATGAATTTGTTTGGTACAATGAAATCTGTAAGGTATGACATAGAAAAAAATAATGTATACCAGTATGGTGAAGGTATGGCAAGCAACTCACGACGGTAAAGAATTAATAATAATTAATGATTTAGTAAACAATAATTTCAACCAGAAAAAAAGGAAAAAAATCCAAAAGAAAAGGGAATTTTTTTTTGCTCCGCACAGTGTGAAGGACTTGCTAGAGTTGCTCCGCACTGTGCGGAGCATTAAAAAGAAAAAAATCACCCTTGTGTGCAAGGGAAATGAAATGGTTTAAAGTTTAAAAAAAATAGATAAAATCGGTGAAGTATGGCCAAGTAAATCAATTGATTGATTAATCTGAAATTTTTCAGTATATATAAGTATATTTTAGAGTATAATGTATTGGAATGGATTAGCCTGTATGATGAAATGTGCAAGTATATAAGTACAGAGTAATGTATGGGAATAGATTAGTTTGGTACGGTGAAATCATAGCAAGAAATGGTATGCAAAAAAAAATATGTATACCAGTATGGTGAAAGTGTAAAATTCAGAGGTATAGCAAGCAACTCACGACATAAACAATTAATAATAATTAATAATTTAGTAAATAATAATTTCAATCCAAAACAAAACAAAAGAGAAAAAATTCAAAAGAAAAGGAAAAAAAAATTTGCCCCGCACAGTGCAGAGCATTTGCTTTTTTTTTTTCCTTTTTTTTATTTAAATTATTATTTACTAAATTATTAATTATTAATTGTTTAATAATTGTTTTACTGAGTAAACAATTGATTGACATATTAGCCAATTTTTTTTTTTTGGCAGTCTTAACTATACCATAGCGAAGTTGCTCCGCACAGTATGAAGCATTCCAGCTAGTGCTCCGCACTGTGCGGAGCATTTGGCTTTTTTCCCTTTTTTTGCGATTTAAATTATTATTACTAAATTATTAATTGTTTACTTTGTCAGTAAAAAACAATTGATTGACATATTAGACCATATCATTTTAGTGGACAGTTTTATTGTATAACTAAACTATTCTTTTGTTAATTACATAAAATTATGCTTTTATTTCTTCTCAATCTCATTCTCTTTTCTTGTAGTCATTATTTTTTTTTTTAAATTTCAATCCACCATTTAACACTTCACATTAGTCTTAGTAATAAAATTCATTTTTAACCAAATCTAACAAATTTAGCAGAGCGTATCTAAAAAATAATCCCGGGAAGAGTGTTTTGTCTAAAATATTTTGTCCATTTTTGTAATAGGAATACTTTGTCTATTTCTATATTCCTACCCCGTGAACCTGTTGTCAAATCCTCTCTAAAAAAAGGACAAGTATTGTTTAGCTTGAATAGCTTCTCATACCATTTCTTTACACTTAACCAATTTACATATATTTACCTTTACCTACTTGGCTTTGCTAGAAAAAAAACAGATTTAATCTACTTTTTCTTTCTTGATTCTTTTACTATAATTGTTTCAAAATAAATTCGTAGTTTTAAATGATTTATAATTTTAATCTTTAATTGTGTTAAAAATTATACATACTGCAATCTATCAACACAAAAATGGACGTGCCACATAATTTCTTCAAAATTTATTGATGTTTTACTAAATCATAACATCTATTTGTTAAGTTATATAATAATATCTTCTCTCATATTTGTATAAATGTTTTATTTACTGCCTATATTTTTTTCATATATGTAGATGCTTCCACATCTTTTGTCAATTACTGGAGACATGAATTAAGTGATAGAGTACGATTAACTTCATATAATGGTATAATTGTAACAATACAGCTACAAAGAATCGATGGAGAAATATATTTGGCTAATAGATTGAAGCAATTTTTCGACCATCATAACTTACAGGATGGTTTTGTTGTAGTATTTGAATATAATGAAAATTTCACGTTCAATATGATGATATTTGATGATTCTAGAGTAGAGGTTATATATGGCTCTAATGTTAAAGAAGATGAGGCTTTACAGATCTGGATAATCCTACATTCGAAGTAACACTGACGTTGAATCACAACAACCATCGAGAAATTGTAGGCTATCTTTAATATATCATTCTATATTTAGCTTTTCTACATTATTTTAATATTAACTTCAGCATCAATGTTTTTTCTAAGTCTAAACCAGAAAGGTTTGCAAGACACCATCTACCAAGATATGTGCGGAATGTTCAACTCCACGACTCTTTACATAACAACTGCGATGTCACTGCAAATTCAAGACCAAATGGTGTGATGCGCCATCTAGCTGTAGGTTGGGCCGATTTTCTAACAGAGAATGAAATACAAATCGGCGATACATGCGTATTTAAATTATTAAATAGTAAATCTCCAATGTTAATGGTCTACAAAAAAACCACAACGATGGAACTCGAACTCGAACTCGTCTATGAAACTTTTCACACTAATAATGTTTAATATTTATGTTTATCTATTTCACTTTTTCCAACAATTAATTATCTCAAACTATCGCAGAAAGATTTTCATAGAAATTACACTTCCTTTCTTTACAATTCAAAAATACTACAATATTTTTAACTAAAATATAACATTCTTGTATATATTAATACATATATGGTTACACCAACACACATATATATACATAGTTACACTAATTCGTTGTATGATGGATTCACTTTGAAGAAGATGCTTTGAAGTAGAATGAACCTATGTGTGTTGTAATAATATCACTTACCATAGGAATGTATTTATGGAATGGCAAAATGATTAAGTCAAGTAAAAAAACTTACATAAGTGGTTTCCAAAAATGATTTTCTCCATCTCTATCTAAACTTCTAAATATCCGCTTTACCAATTGTATTCACATTAACTACGCGACATCTGACAATTACACAACCTAATATGAATAACAAATGACTATTAGTAAACAGAAAAAAAGTTAAGAGAATTTGAAAAGTTATGTGTGACTAATACTTGTATTCAGAAAACATAAAGCATGACGACTAATTAATATATTTTTGGAAGGAATAACTTTAGAAATCCTTTTCGCAAAGAAACCATTGTGCAAAATCAATATTTAATCATGACAATCACAAGTTATGTGTCCACATTTGTTATTAATTTTGCGTTTGTAATAACGAATATAATCAATAAAGAATTATAACAAACAATTAAGAATTATATCGTCTTTTGTTCCTCTTTGTAATACTGGTAAAACTTGTCGAAAATCTCCTCCACACACAACGACTTTTTCACCAAACGGTAATTGACATTCAGTAATGTCTCTTAACATCTTATCTAAAACCTCAAAAGCATATTTATGAACCATTGGTGTTTCATCCCAGATTATTAGCCTAGCCAATGCTAAAAATTTACCAAGCGCAGACTGTTTACTCACTGAACATTGCATATCAGGACTTCCTTCAAGCGAAATTTTGAATCTTGAATGTCCTTTTGGACTAGCCAAAAATAGAGATGCAGCTCCACCTAATGATGCCGTTGCTAGTGCGATAAGATTTCGAGATCGTACACCAAAAAGTAATGCCTTGTACAAATACGTTTTTCCTGTACCTTCTGGGCCATCAATAAAAAACATTACATTCTTATCATTTAAAACAAAATCCAAAATAATATCATAGGTATTTTGTTGCTCTTTATTTAAACTCTTACTATAATGTATGTCTGACTGAAAATTAGTATTGGTTGTTTCTTCAGCAATCATGTTTTCAAAGATATCATCATCATTCACAGTTAAATCAAAATCTACCAAACAAAAATCAATTATATTGTTACCAACACCTTCTAAGAAAGAATTTATATAGTGCAAAGCTTTCATCTCAACACTTTGTTGTGTGAAACCTTTATGTAAATATTCTATCATGAAACCCTTAAATTTATCTAGGGATGGCAACGAGTCGAGTCGGCTTGTGAGCCAAAAATCAAGGCTCGGGCTTGGCTCGAGCTTTTTGAAGACGGAATTTTTTGGGCCCGAGTCGAGTCGAGCAAAAGCTCGGCCAAAAAGTTGAGGCTCGGGCCTTACCGAGCCGAATTGTTTTTTTTTCCTTTTTCTACTTTTTTTTCCTTTTAGAAGGCGGCTAGTAGCTGCCTTTTTTTTTTTAAGGCAGCTGGCTGCCTTTCACGCTACCTTACTTTTTTTTTTCGAGCAGGCCCGTGAGCCACATGGGCCGGCTTGGGCCTAGGCTCAGTTTGCCAGGCTTGAGCTTTTTGCAGGCCGAGCAATGGGCGGCCCGAGCCCTCGAGTCTTTTTGCTATCCCTAAATTTATCCCATAAATTCCTTGGATTTGTAGGGCAACATAAACTTAATACATTGATAAATAGTCGCCGCAGTGATATGGGCATTTGGTAAGCAGCTGCTTCAGATAAAAACATCTCAAAATAGCTATTTCCACTAAGAAGATCGTGGGAAAGTGCTGATTCACAATAAGTAGATAAAACAATACCATCGACTGTTTTTAAATCTTCAAAAGATTTTGGCGCTCTAATATAATTTAGCAAAACTCTTAAAAAATACCTCTCACCTTCACATGGATTAGCATTGACTATTCTACCAATAACATCTTTACTTTTTCTGGGACTCCAAATTAGCATGGATGCATCCCATGCGAAATATGTTGAAAATTCTTTATACAGTAGAGTTTTTCCCTTTTCATTTGAAATATTCATTCTAAAGAATTCTGTTAACATTGTTCGGTGAACAAAATCCTTATTTATAACTTTGATAAATCAACTGTCTCATTGTATGTAACCGTTTGAGCATTTTTAGTATGTAACTGTAAAAAGATTACTTGTATAGATATTTAACAACCTTAACAGAAGAACATACCTCCACATTAATGTGACAATCATAGTTAGCTAAAATGTAAGGATTATACAATATAACCCATCTATTATCCAACATATATCCTCTTACTTTAACACTTACACCATCATTACGACGCTTGTAAAGTGGGTAGGAATCATTACCCAAAGAAGTATTTTCAACGTAATCTCTCGGATATTTATTTTCACACCCAAAATTCTTTTCCATACAAACATTCTTAGGATTCAAATTTCCACAAGAACTATGCATCAAATGTTTTACAACAATAGCATGCAAGTAAGGGTATTTTTTTTGTTCGGTATTTTAGATGAGACAATTTCGTAGACTTTTACAGAATTCTGGATCTTAGAATTTTGTTTAAATATAAGGAGAAAATGAGTGTGAGGTAATCCTCTTTTCTAGAATTCAATCACATAAACATATGCAGCAATAATACCCAATAACTTTCTCTTAACCAAATCTGTCTTCAATTCTTTAAACTTGGCACGAAATATTCATACTAACAAATCTGGCCTATTCTGTGTTTCGTTATTATGTTTCAATTCACATTTTATTTCAAGCCAATTTGGATTACATGTCATTGTCAAAAACACATCAAGTTTACCATATTTCTAAACTAAAGATATTGCATCCATATATCTTTTAGTCATGTTCCTATAATCCCCAACAAAATCAGAAGGCAACACTAATGATCTACCAATTTTATAACCTCTATTCTCACGATTTTGTACACTATCTACAATTCTCTGATATAGTTCAGCTCTTATAACCTTTTGGTTATTACGAAAATAGTCTAATCTTGATGTTTCAATTTTCACATATATATCCACAACATACTGCTGTAAAAGTTTGCCAGCATGTAAAAGAATACAATTATTTACACACTTGATTTGAAGTTTGTAACAATAATATTCCCGACATGATACAATTATTCGTTTTTTCTTTACCTTAACTGCAAGAAAGAAAATGATATATCAACAAAAACTTCATTCGCTAAATGTAATCAATAAAATAAATAAATTAGTTTAAAAATAGAAATTACTAAAATCGTTTACCATAATCTTCTACTTCTAATCGTTGATCCGCAGAATAGACATGATTAATTTCTATTAAATTCTGACAAACTAGAGCTTGTGAAACATTTACATTCATCTTTTGAATACCTTCATGCCATTCAGATTCTCCATACGGGAAAAGTAATGGATATTGGAGAGGATCATAAAAATCATAATAGTATTGAACTTTATATGCATTACCTGAATGTCCATAAATTAATAAATCCCGACCTCTAGTATTTGTAGATGGGTCATCGTCAACCCAAACTATAGCCACTTATTCTGATGTTGACAAGTTATATATTCTTTGATCAATACCAGGATTAGACTTCAATAAAATACAACATGATTCTAAATCACTAACTTCACTTAATGATCGGAAAAACGTTGAATAGGGATTTTTGTTTAGAACATCTATCAACTTTCTTAAAGTAAACTCACAAAATTTTTCAAAGGTATTGAGTCTATTACAAATTTCATTTTCAGTATCATAGAAGTATAATTGTAAATACGTTCTTTGACACAAGTGAATTTATGAAATGGTATACTTGTCCTTGAACTCTGAAAGTATATGTATCTTTATTATTCTTACACAATTCTTTGTCATACTTAACACTAAATGAAGTAAACGCAAAATGATTGCTGTAACTATGAACAATTTTTTTAAAAGTTACAGCCTCTTCAGATGTAAAAGTAAATAAATCATACATTTCAGGAGGCATATCATGTAGCTGTAATTTGACTTTTCCATCGTAACAACAAAAGCATTTGCTTTCTCTATAGAATTTTGTAGCACCACAATAACCACAAATTTTAGAAATGGCAAAACATAAGGTTGATGATGAATATTTCCTTTACCAAATTTTTCTGCATATTTAACACTTACACTCACATCCCATGATTCCCCTAATTCATAATGTTAGTTAGCATCGCCTACAAGAATAAGAAAAAAAATGAAAAAAAAGGAAAATTGTAAGGAAAAAAGCATTCCATATAAATAAACTAAACATAGTTGTATATAAAAAATGACCAAACAAGCGCTATTAAAAAAATCTCCGAACTGTGCGGAGAGACCACTCTTCCCTCCGCATTCTTCGTACAGTGCGGAGTTTTTTATGAAAAAACAGCCAATAAACAAATACAAGCACAACAAGATGAAAAACTAAAAACTATAGAAACACAAAATGATTGTTGTAACTACAAACAACTATTTTAAAAGATGTAAAAGTAAATAAATCATACATTTCATAACCTTTCCATCACAACAACAAAACCGTTTGCTTTCTCTATAGAATTTCATAGCACGACAATGATGACAAATTTTAGAAGATGGCAAAACATAAGGTCGATGAGGAATACTTCATTTACCAATTTTTTCTGCATATTCAACACTCACACTCACATCCCTTGATTTCCCTAATTCAAAATGTTGATTAGTATCACAAAAGAAAAAATTTGATAAAAAGGGAAATTGTAAGGAAAAAAGCATTCCATATAAATAAACTATATTATATAAAAAATGACCAAACAAGCGCTATAAAAAAAATTCTCCGAACAGTTCGTAGAGATCAATTCATCTCGCCGAACTGTGCGGAGAGACCACTCTTTCCTCCGCACTCTCCACATAGTGTGGAGTTTTCGAATTTTTTTCTGGAAAAGAAAAGCCATAAACATAAACAAGCGCACAACAAGATGACAAACTAAAACTGCTAAGAAAAAAATTCTTAAAACAACAAATTTAGCTTATTTTAAGCACTCAAACTGCTAAGAAAAAAATTATCTTCGTACACTTCGGTGAAATCAACTGATCTCTCTGAAGTGTGTGGAGAGCTCCGAACTCATGTGCCATCTCTCAGTGCCATCTGATTCTAATTTTTTTTTGGACAAAAACTAATTAAAACAAATATAAGCACAAAAAAAGCATAAACACTACTAAATATAAACCTGTTAAACTGAAGGTCGTTAAACTTCGATCAGAATGAAGTGCAGAATGAGGTTGCACTTCATGCATCAGATTTTTCAATTGAGGATTCTCAATGCACGTCTGCTTTCTCTTTCTTTCGCAAGCTCGCCTATTTTTAAACCAATCACCAACATTTTTTTCAGAAATAATAGGATTATGTGATGATAAGGTGGATATTATATATAGCATTTCTACATTATTTGAATTTTTATTTCCTCCATCAAATATGCATCGAAAAAAAATCAACCTCTTTAGATATAGATATCCAACGTTATTGTCTTCCCATAACCGTTTCGACAGACAACAAGCTAAAAAGCCAAAAAAAAAAAAAAAAAAAAAAAAAAAAAAAAAAAAAAAAAAAAAAAAAAAAAAAAAAAAAAAAAAAAAAAAAAGAGAATCAAACAAACCCAAAGCTCATTGAAAGCTTCAAAGATGAAGTTTGAGAGTATCGGGAATGTTGTCCAAGAAAAAACAGAATTCCACATAGCACCAAAACGAAAAAAAATAGAAATGAAGATATCAATAAAAAGGAAAATAAGGAGTATGGTCGTGGGATTACGGTTAGCATGGTTGTTGGCATGGTCGCAAGTATAAATTTGGTCGAAGCAAAGAATAAAAAAAAAGAAGGGAAAAAATATCATGAACAGTAAAATGAGATTACTTTACTGTTTTGTCTACAGTGTTATCCTATTCACGTTTTAATAGAAGTTAGATGAAAGTTTCATCTTTTGTTTTCAATAGGAATGCCCAAATCATTCTAGAAAAATCATCATTGATGAGAAAATAGTATTTAAAACCAGACAAAGTTGATACAGGTGCAGGACCCCACAAATCAACATGTAAATATTCTAGAATTTACTTTATTTTATGAGTTCCAGTAGGAAAAGACAGTTTACTTGCTTAACAACCAATCATTGTTCCCAGTTAGAAAATTCACCAATTTCATGTTTCCGAGTACTCATTTATTTTGCGAAGACCTTAACTTTTCTTTCCAATGTGACCAAGTCTATCATCCCATAATTTTGGAATATTAAAATTATCATCTAAAGCTATTGTAGTTAGACCAATTAGAGGTTTAGCATTAAGGAAATAAAGACTGTCTCTTTGGGATAGAAGTGACTAAATCACTACCCCTAAAGATTTTGATATGTGCTTGACCCAATTTAATGTCAAACTCCATGTTATCTAACAAATCTAGAAACACTAAGCTTCTTTCAAGTTCAGGAACAAATCTAGTGCTCTTATGAAGTAGAATTTTTCCATTTTCTAAAAGCAATTTAATTGTTCCAATTCCTTTTACTTTGCATGTCATATTGTTTCCCATAATAACTTGCTCTCCTATGGCTTTTTCAAAATCCAAAAACCAACATTTGTTTGGACGCATATGGAATGAGCAATCTCAACCAAGAATCCATTCTTCATTTAGGGTTTTTTTTTTTTTCATATTTACAAAAATCAGTCCATTATCAACTTCCATTTTATCATAGGCCAACACAACATTACCCTCGTTAGATTTCTTTTCTTTTAAATTATTTTGCTTTTAAAAATAGTCTTTTGCAAACGACATATTTTACCAGAATAGTAACATGTCTTTCCTTTTGCTTTTTTCTTGGAGTTGTTTTTATCACTCCATATCTTTCTAAAATCATTTAAAGATCTTGAGTGAAAATTTGATTTACCAACACTTAATGCTGCTTTGGTGGCGCTTTTTCGCCTTCTCTTCGCTTTGGAAAGGAAGAGTCGTGAGACTTGGAAACTTTTAGAAAACCTTCTGTCATGCAATTTGTTGCAAGTGTTATATTATAAGTCTTTCATCTCTTTTGCTTTTTGTCAGAAGATTTTCTCC